TATCTTGGAAACAACATTTCTTTTCTGAAAGTTTACTCCAAGCATGTGTTGGGGAGGAGGGGCGGGGTGCTGATGGGAGATTTTCCTGCAAAGCAAGAGCAGGAGTGTCTGAGAGAAGCAGAGCACTCACTTTGCGTGGCCGCCTCTAAGAGGGCAGTGATGCCAGCAGGCATTGCCCAGTCACCAGTCATCAGGCTCCAACCTTGCCAGTCAGTCCAGATTCCCAAGGAAGGTATAAACCAGAAATCACAGACATTAAAAAGGCAGATAAATTATAACAGTCGGCACGACTGATGTGAAGGAAGGCCTGCCAAGATCGTTGTCTGACACATGTGGGAAACAGTGGAGGCAGGCACACCAGCACTTGCTGCAACTCAAGTTCCTGTTGCTTTAATCTGTTGGACTCCAGTTTGAATAAACCGAAGAAACACAGAAACGTGGGATCTCTTGCAATCCTATAAATGTTGTGCCTTTTTGTCTATAAAGGAAGATTCAAATGTGTTGTAGGAAGACAGTGGAGAATCAAAGAATACTGGTGCTGCTTTCCAGCAGCTTGCCATCTGTGTAGGAGCCTCAGAAGGTCCAACGGTGCCATCATTCAAAGCGCTACAGCCTCTGATATGGTACAAACTGCAATAAGAGTTCTCATGACAGAAAGACAGCTGAAGTTTGCAAAAGGCAGCCAGCCAGGATATAGGCTTCTTTTGAATGATATATTAAAATGCACCATGCCTTCATAGTCACAGACCAATCCCATTAATATGTAATTGCTTTAGCTGTAAACTCATAAAATTTTTGTAGAGCCTCAAGTTGTTTTGGAAATATGCCTGCTTGATATGAAGGAGAGGGCTGGAACTTGGTGTTCACAAAGGGAACTACATGGTTAATGAGTTCTGTCAAAGCGCTGAGAGCTGCCAGGACACTCCCAGGTCACTAGCCCCTTCGACGCACCCCTCCTTCCCACCCCTCCCATGTCGCAGGGCTGACATTGAGGCCCATGTGGAATGTGGATTTAGCGAGGATGTTATTTTGAAAGATTATCATGATGGTCAAAGTCTCAGCATAGCTGAGCTGAATGTGTGTCTCCACCCCTTCATTGCTGTGAGAACGAGCCTGGCTGCCGGCTCCTGCCTGGACACAATAGCCTCCTCATGGCAAGGGGAGCTGCTGCCCCTGCTGCGCACTGAGCAAACACCCTGATTCATTGTCCCCAGCATGTTGCTTTCTTGTTTACAAACTTTTAGTGATTATCTAATAAAAAAAAAAACCCAAACCTTGTGGTTTGGCATTCAAGGCTTCCTGTGATCTGGGTCCAACCAAATCTTCCTAGCTCATCTTTCTCTGGATGCACATTGCCCTGCCAGGGTCTTTGTTACTGCTCCTCGTGCTGCCCTTTCCCAGGCTTTTGCTAACAGTCTTCCCTCTGACTGGAATGGACCAGTCCATATCCATCCTCCAAGACCACCGCGTATTCCCTCCTCTGGGAGTCGTCCAGTGTGAGAAGGGCGAACACCAGAGGGGACCATGTTTTACACCCCTGTTTTGCCAACTAGTTCCTGAAGGACTCCAGGCAGAAATTCCAGACTGAGCTGCTCTGGGAACTCAGTCTTCTTATGTGAAATGGTTAGGTCCACAGCCACCCAGGGCCTGTGGTGAGGTGTGAGTGGGTTAACGCTAATGGGAAATGTTTGTGCAGTTCCACATACACAGTATATGTGAAAGGAAGCAGCAAGTTATTCTGATCAATCCAGGTACCCATGGCCAACTCTGAAATTCTTTTCACTCAATTGTTCTCACCTTCTGTCTTGCAATACATGATTCTGAAGTTTAGACACTGATGTACATATTTTATTTTCCTTGAAGGTAGAATCATGCTTTCTTCTCATTTCTACATAGCATGCCCTCAAACTCTAGGCAGAGGAAGAAAGCTAACTGTGAAATTCCTGACCAGAATTGTTACCACTTTCTGTCCCTTCTAAAGGTGAACAGAGGTTTTGCAAACAGGCATTTTCTTAGATGTGGGCATCCCATTTGTTGAGGAAGGCGTTTGTGAAGTGGTTCATGTCACTTTCAATAAAATCTCAGGAAACTTTGTGGCCTTGGTGAACACGTGACCTCAGCTCACGGGGCCAACACAACCATTCTGCTTTCAGTCCCATGGTTCAATGAACTGGGAAAGCATTAGATTCTAACAACGCACTTACGGAGAATCAGAACACACATTCACCAACTAAAACATGCGAGAAGTCCTCCAAGAGAGAAAGCAGCATGTAGTAGGAAGATCTGACCTGCACTAAGCTCCCATTATGCATCCCCAAGCACTCAGCTTACAGTAGGGCCTTGGCTTAATCCTCAGAATGTCCTAAACGGTGGGTGTGATTACTATCATCACTCAGTGGATAAGGAGGCCGATGTCTGCATGGGCCCAAGGGCACGGGGCCACTTTGGGGCACAATTGCCGATTTGAAGTATAACATTGGTGGCCCTGGAGCTGCCACTCCAGTTTACTGTGGTATACAGCTGCCACATTCCAAAATTTGCTTGATCTGGAAATGCTTTTGATTTTCCTTTTATGAATAATTCATGACATTAGCGTTCGTTGGAGCATCCTTTAGGAACACAGCCTTGTCACCCCTAAGTTATTGTAGTAGGAACAGCCATGATCTTTCCATCTGTGTGCCTCGGCCTTAGACACCATGTCCCTCCAAGGCTTCTCACTATATCTGGCACATCTACCAAGGTTTAATTCAAACACAACTCTACAGAAAGTCTTTGATTTTTGCAAAGCATCTCTTGGTATGATTGTCCTACAGTCACCCAGGACCAAGTTCGAAAAGCCTAGGTTAAATATCTGGTATAGTCCACACCCTGGGTTACTCTCTGTTGAACTGACCCCGTGGCTGTTGCCTTGTCAGCTCTCTGCCTGAGCCTGCGGCTTGACCAGTCTAGGTTCATGTGGAGGCCTCCCACCATGACCCACCACCTGGGCTGATCAGGCTTGTGGAAGCCCACCCTCCGGCAGTTGGGCAGTTAACAGTCTCCTCCTGCTGCTTTTCTCTCCCCATTCTCTGCAGCCAGGAGGTACATTTGGTCACATTGGGCGTCTGTCACCAGAGCCTTTTTGGGACAACCCTATCCTTTCCTTTCTGGGGCATCATCCAGGTCTCATTACCGTGCCACGGATGAGTCAGCCGGCTCAAGGCTTCATGAGTGACCAACCCTAGCCCTTTTTGTTTTTGTCCTGCTCCGGGGGTGGGGCCCCAGAGATGCCGCCAGCCTCTCTGGGAGCCCATGCAGGAAGCCCCGGCGCTGCAGCTCCAGCACTCGCGTCATGGCACAGAGCGCGTGTTTCCAGACCGCACCCATCCCCAGGGTGCAACTCAGGCGCCATGCACCGCCAGCCACCCCAGCTCGCCGGCTGTCTGCTATGAGGTCATGGGTGGGGCCCAGAGACCCCCTCCAAATAGGGAGGGGGCTTCCCTCACTGGCCCGGGGTGGGTGGCGTAGACTGGAGAGAGGCGAAGGTAATGGTCAGCTCTGTCCAAACCATTGCTCCCTCCTTCCTGTGGGCCAGTGTGGAGAAGAACGGAGGGAGAAGGGAATGGAGAAGATTGTAGAAGAAGGCCAAGGAATAGGCAGCCGCGAGTAGCCACTCCACTTCCAGCCCTGGGTGGAGGGAAGGCACTTGAGCCTTTGCAGCACCTTGCAAGCAGCCCACCGTGCTGTCTTCCAGCTTTTCTGTAATAAAGGGCTTCCTCTGACCTTAATCGCTTTCCTTCCACTGAAAACATGGGCAGGGCAAGTGTCTGCAATCTTCCTCCACAACCAGAATTCGATACAGAGTAAGAAAATAGCCTAACAACACAGCCACAGCTGGCACAGCGTGGAAGTAGAACCTTGCAGTGTCCACAAGCAATGTCCACCCATGCCCGAGCTAGGTAACTGAGGTGATGTGTGTTACCTAGGTAACGTGTTCCAAATCTACTTCAGCGCAATCAAAGCCACAAGATACTGTAACCTTTGCCCTTGAGCACGCATGCGTATGTGTGTGTTGCAGAAATGATTATGAGGCTCTGTTAAAACCTGAGCCTGCTAGAGGAATTTGCAGTTCTCTGGATTTTTTCTTTTTCACCTAGAATTCTGCCTTGAAAAGACGGGAATTTTATTAACAGACACTTTTCTTACGGAAATGGAAACAATGCATCACACGTCTGCAAACCCCCACACCACAAATTACAAGATATTTCTGACAGTACCGCTGCTTAGGAAGACAAAAGAAAACACCCCCCTCGCTCTGTTCCCTACCTGTCCAGGAGGCCTGGTGGAGGAGGCCAAGCACCCCCACTTTGATAATGACACAGGCGACAACAACTATCAAACGAAAGTTAACTCGAACTTAGTTTTAACTCAAACTGTTTTTCCTTCTCCAGGATATACAATGTCTGTAACATTTTCACATGTCATTCCAAAGGGAATGTCAGGTGATTTAGTTCACATTTTAAAAACACATCCTGTGAAACAAGTTTATAAGAAGTCATAGTAACCACAGCGAAGAGCATTTGGGGAATGATATTAAAATCTTCCACGGGACAGATTTCCAAGTTAGAAGGATCGCAGCTCCGGAGGTGGAGTTGTATATAACGGGATAAGAGAACTCAGATATCATGGCCTTGGCAATGAATTAGGCCATGACCATGCTGGCAAATGCTGTGTTCATCAGATTGGAGATTTTGAAGACCCCTGTGCAACACGCATTCTCTAAGAGAAATGTTGTGGAGTCAAAGACATTTCACGGAGGTTCATGCGTCAAGCCGAATAGAAAGTAGGAGAACGCGTTACGGCTGTGGCTTTGCACCCTCTGATTTATCATTTGTTGACATACTTTCTACACGTTCCTCCTTTCTTTACAAGTAGCTGTCATAAGTTCTTCCAGTAAATATTTTGACAAAGGCCAGGCAGGAGGGAAAAAGAGAAAAACTGCAGTGAAAACGGTCACTTACCTTTTCTGGCCATGGTTGGGATCAAACTTTTTCCCCAAGCATGAGGCTGGCTTGCTTTGGTTGTCCCATGAATTTGGAAAACATTTAAAAAAAAAAAAGTTAAAGTGGAAATAGGTGTTTATTACTCAAAGCTGCTCCAAAACAACGCAAAAACACAACTTGATGAAAAGCAAAGTGCCCGTCCGAGCTTGAGGATGTGTTTGAAGCTTGGAGTTCATGCTGTTCTACGAGGTTTTGCAACTGTCTTTCTCACTTTAAATCACCTCCCACTCTTTCTCCCAGGCACTTGCCAACTGCTATAATTTAAAGCAACTGCGATCCTTCCCATAATACTCACATTTCAAAGGGCTTAATATATACATTCGTTAGGAATGAGTGGGAGTGGGGGCGTCCTCCTGCAAACCCGAGCTCAGCAAACAGAAAGGAAGCATGTCAGGGAGCGAAGCCATTCTGTTTCATCCATTTCTTGTCTGACTGCGGAGTTTCTGTGAAAATGTAAAAGGCTGTGATTACCTTTTAAGAAGATGCCCAGATACCAAAAACCATCAATTCTTTGCAAAGAATAGAGGCATTACTGGAATTGTATTTAAATATCCTATCTGCTCGTGGAATTATTTCCAGGAAATTGGCCCCCAGTTTATCTATTTGGCAATTTAAGGTCGTCATACATGATGCTTCCAGAAAAGGGGAAAGTGGTTGAAATTATGTCATTTATAGAGATCTCATCTTAAATTTTATCCTGTATGTGAATTGTACATTCCAAAAAGAACACTTGCTCGGCAAAAGTTGTTTGTGTAAACAAACTTCCGAGGTCCAGTCTTTCCCTGGTGGTACAGGTTTGCTAGTGTCATCCCTCTGCCAGCTTTCTCTGCCCACACACATGCATGCAAAAATGTATGACTCTAAATGACAGCCAACTTAAAGTGTGATCGCTGAAAATAGTGAGTTAAAAGATACTTTATGGTGTATCTCAAGTCCTGCTCATTATTGACTAGCAAACAGCCCTCCTTAAACGCTGCATGAATGAACACTCCAGCTCGCAGTGTTGTAGACCTGGATCTACCCCATTTTGGCTGTTCCACCTTGGATGTTTTATTTGACTTTATCAAACTTTAATTTCCTTAACTGTGAAAGAGTGCAGACAAATATGTCAAAGCTACCAATTTGTGCATATACCTTTAATATTGCATTTATTACATGAATAAAAATTAAACATCTTACTGTGTTGCAGGCAAATACCAAAGCTTGATTATGAGTGGTTGGGATTTAGGAGTGCTTGACACAGCATCTAGGATGGATTTCCTGACTCCTATCAAGTCTGATCATGGACGTGGAGTGTTGTACTAAAAAACAAGAACCTAAACTTATTGGCACTGGCCTGGTAGTGAGTGAGTGAGCAATGAGGGGCCTGTTGTTCCCACTTTGTTGCATTGGAAAAAATTGTTGGAACGGACATCCCTAACAATGTTGAAGGTGGTATTTGCTATGTAATTTGTAACTCGTGCTTTGAATGCATTCACTATTGTTGCTGCATTTACCAAGCCCTTTCAGGGATGAGATGAGCCCTTGGAAGATGTGGCTAAATTACAAATGAAAATAAAGGGAAATGGGGAGAGAGGACATGCATTTGAAGGTTTACAGGAGCCGACTGATTTTTTTTTTTTTGAGGGACTTACATTGCTAAAAGTTCTATAAGCCTATGTTTAAAAATGTGTTTCAAGGGCCCGGCGCGGTGGCGCAAGTGGTTAAAGGTCCTTGCCTTGCACGCCCGGGATCCCATATGGGCGCCGGTTCTAATCCCGGCAGCCCCGCTTCCCTTCCAGCTCCCTGCCTGTGGCCTGGGAAAGCAGTCGAGGACGGCCCAAAGCTTTGGGAACCTGCACCCACGCGGGAGACCCGGAAGAGGCTCCTGGCTTCGGATCGGCATAGTATCGGCCCGTTGCGCTCACTTGGGGAGTGAATCATCGGACGGAAGATCTTCCTCTCTGTCTCTCCTCTCTGTACATCCACCTTTCCAATGAAAAAATAATAAAAATAAATCTTTAAAAAAAAATGTGTTTCAAGACTGAACACATCTGCTTCCACTAGCAGGAGGTGGGCTGCTGGTCTGCTCAGAGGACAGGCTCTCCAACACCACCAAGGAGAAGCATGGGCAAACCCAGCCACTTTGAAAGGACTCCTGGTTGTAAAACTGGTGAACCAGGGAGTTGCTGCTCACCCTCAAAGGGAAACTTAAACCTTACCAAGAACTTCTCCCCAAAAAGGGGTGGGCCTTCACTGTGTCTGCTTGGCAGGATTTGTTTTTATCAACAGCTTGAGGGTCCGCTGTGTGTTTTCCATTGCTCCATTGTTTTTTTAATGAGAATTTTTTAATGTGGGTGTTCTGGTACAGTTATGGCATTTAGAGAGAGAGAAAGAGGATACAGATAAAGGCATGATAAGTAATTACTTGCCTATTTCAGTCACAGACCAATTATTGCCTATGTAGCTGATAGGTCACTGGGTTGAGAGATGCTCACATGCAGAGAGGCAACGTCAGGTAACTCCAGAAGCCTTGCCCTTTGAGACGAGCAAAATGGAAAAATGGACTCTGAGCTTCTGCCTCTGACAGGGTTGGGAGGAGACTTATTTTCTGTTTGCAAGAAGGGAAGGAAATGAACACTCGGAGGCCAGAGGTTAAAGTAGGCAGATACTCTGAACATTTATTGAATCTGCATATCTCTCTGCGTTTCCCAACTTCCCTTCCATGTGGCTGACTGTGGGCAATTTCTTGTCAATAGGCTGTGGGCAGGAGTCATGAGGGCACTTCTGGGTGGAGGCAGCTAAGAGCTGGTGTGCCCACAACACAGCCCTGCTCCACATCGCAGGAGATGAAGCGCTCAGGGGAAGGAGCCGTCCTGCCAGTGCGCTGCTATCCAGAAAATCCAGCTGACCTGCTTCAGACATTACCGAGGAGTGAACAACTCATCATGTGTTTCCCACTGAGTTTGTGCTGCAATTGCCAGAGTTAGCCAGCATCAACTGTGCCCATTAGTGCAGCTACTTTCAACAGTTCTTGGAAGAGTAAATAAGATGATGCATGTAAAGAATGGAGAACAGGAGCCACACAGTTCTGAGTGGTCAATAAATACTAGCTGTCTTTAAAATTGCTTTACTGAGGTGTGATTGACGAACCAAAAGTTGTGCATACAACTGCGTGAGTATATACCTGTGAAACGTCACCGTGTTCTATGCCATGGCCATATCCTTCTCCTCCCAAAGTTTCTTCTTGACCTTTTCATTTATTTATCACTATTATTTTATCACTTCTAGGTCTTGTGGCTAAGATCTGTATCACTATTATTTCAACATGAAATATTCAATATAAAATTATACTCTTAAAAACTTGGGGCTTTCTTTTTCAGAAACAGAATGAAAAGGAGAGCTTGATTCTACACTCCTTTTTACTTTTTATTTATTCAAAAAAGAAAGTCTCTCATACACATAAATACAAAGAAAGAGAGAGAGAATTTATTCCTGTTCACGCCTCCAAATGACCACAAGGGCAGAGGCTGGTCCAGCCTTGAGACAGTATCCCACAACTCCATCCATGTCTCCCACACGGGTGCTAAGCACCGAAGTTCTTGAACCTTCATCTGCTGCCTTTCCAGGCACATTGGTAAGAAGCTATACTTGAAGCAGGGTAACTGGGATTTGAATCACCACGCCTATACTGGATACCATTGTCATAATCAATGGCTTAACCTACTGTGTCACAATGCTGGCTCCAACATATTTCCAAAAATATTGTCAGCTCTAAGTATCATATACGCTGCAGAGTACATCTCTAGGAGTTATTTCTCTTGGATAATTAAAACATTGTACTAGTGGGTAACTATTTTTATATTAACAATAAATCTCCACTTTTTTTCCTCACAAAACTAATCCAATTAAATGCTAGTGGTGACTACATGAATAATTTTAGGGCTTATAAGTTATGTACAAATGGCTAAATAAATTGAAACATGAAAAGATTGAAAAATGAAGTAGATTCTGAAAATAAAACTTAATCCTCATCTTTTAAAAATATATACATGTATTAAGGAAATCATCCAATGAGTTACTGTTAGATATCTTAATAAATCCCCAAAGCAAAAGATCAAGGAATTTTTTCACTCCAAGTCATAGACTAAGTTCTTTTTGGCATCTAATTATTGTAAATTCCAGTTGCCCAAATATTTGTTCTACTTCGCAGTGGACACTGGGTGAATATTGCGGGAAGGCTAACTGGGGGCTAATTTTTTCTAAAATCTTTACTGTAGGCACTGAACTACTTGGAACAAAAGGGTACCAAAGAACCCATTGTTGTGTTTGGTTGCATGTACTTCAGGATTTGGAACACTTCTGGGAATGTGGTTTCCTTCAGCCTGGCAAAAGGACCATACTCTTTTCATTTCTACCACATTAAATAATAGTCACAATAATTACAAACATCCCTGAACGTTAACAAGGCATTGTCTTACATGCCCCCTAGATGTAGAACTCATTTTACATTCTCAGTAATCTGTGAAGTAGCTGCTTATATTACTCCAAGTTTTCACATGAGGAATTAGAAGTACAGAGTAGCTCATGGTCACACAACCGACAAGGAACAAATATGGAGTTTGAATCCAGACTGTCTGTTTCCAGCAATCTGTGCTCTCTCTCTCTCTCTCTTTTTTAAACTTAAATATTTCTTTATTTGTATTTGAAAGGCATATTTTACAGAGAGAAGGATAAATAGGTCTTCCATCTGCTGGTTCACTCCCCAAATGGCTGCCACGGAGATGGACCGATCTGAAACTGGAAGCAAGGAGCGTCTTCTGGGTCTCCTACACAGGTGCAGGGGGTCAAGGACTTAGGCCATCTCTTGATTTTCCAGACTATCTGTAGGAATCTGGATCAGCAGCGGAGCAGCCAAGACAAACAGGCATCTGTATGGGATGTTAGCATCACAGCTGGAGGATTAGCTTGCTATTACACCATGCCAGCCCCAATCTGAGCTCTTAAACATGGTAAAAACACGTTTCCATATCAGATGCCTAAAGCATGCCTAATCCACACACATTTCTTAGCCTTTTTTTGTGCTAAGATGGATACCTGAAGTGATATAGATTTTTTTACTTCTGAAAGAAGCCGTGAGCTGCCACAAGCACCAGGTTGTTATTCTTGGAATCCATTGATTTCCTGAATGTAATTATAAAGCTTGA